TAATTGAATTACCTGGTGGTTGTTTATGTTGTACAGTACGTAGCGAGTTAATGTTAGCCTTGCAGCAGCTGCTGCAGCAGCTGCAGCAGCAGCAGCAGCAGCAGCAAATAGATGGTATATTTATAGAGACAAATGGTGCAGCAGACCCCCAACCTATATGTGAATCTCTATGGGCAGATGACGAATTAGAGGGAAATATTTTATTAGATGGTGTTGTATGTCTTATAGATGCAACAAGACCTCATGCTGCTCTTGCTGCACCTCCTGCTGCTGCTGCTGCTGATGATGGTGATACAGCAGCAACAGCAGCAGCAAGAGGAGGAGAAGGAGGTGCGAAGGAGGGATATTCGTTAGAAACGCATGCAGGTTTGGGGCTTGTTGCACTGAAGCAAATTGCATGCGCGGATTGTTTGCTGCTAACTAAGACAGATCTATGTAGGGAGCAGCAGCAGCAGCAGCAGCTGCAGCAGCTGCAGCAGCGGCTAGCTTGTCTTAATCCTGGTGCTACTATACATCTATGTACGGATGGTGATGTACCTCTTGCTGCAGTAGTAGGTCTTAAGGCCTATGGCAGCAGCAACAGCAGCAGCAGCAACGGCAGCAGCAGCAGCAGCAGGGGCTGCGGCAGCAGCTGGCTGCGGCGCGCTTTATCACCAGAGGCTGAAGCAGCAACAGCAGCTGCTGAAGCCCTCTATCAACAGCAGCAGCTGCAGCAGCAGCAGCAGCATCAGCAGCAGCAGCACGAATGTGCAGCAAAAGGCTCCTGCTGCAGCAAAAGCTTAGGGGGTCTTAATAGCTTAATGGTATTTATTTCCTTAGGGGGTAAAAACAAAGAAAGTCGTAAATTATTCTCCCTGCAGCAACTAGAGAGAACAATAGGAGAGCTGCTGTGGGGTGACACAGAAGCAGCAGCAACAGCAGCAGCAGATGCAGCAGCAACAGCAGCAGCAGATGCAGCAAAGGAGACAAGCGCTATATTTAGATGCAAAGGACTCTTCTATGCATGGCTAGATGATGAGGAAGGAGACACAACAAATACAAGTAAGAGCAGCAGCAGCAGCAGCAACAGCAACAGCAGCAGCAACAGCAACAGCAACAGCAGCAGCAACAGCAACAGCAGCAGCAGCAACAGCAGCAGCAGCAGCAGCAGCAGCAGCAAAATATTTTGTGCATGCATTTGTGCTGCAGGTGACTGGGGTGTCTACGAGCTACAAGGTGTAGGCAAGACATTTGAATTACGAAGGGTAGAGGGCCCTTGTGCTGCTGCTGCTGCTGCTGCTGCTGCATTTGCTGCTGATGGTAGCGGTGCAGCAGAAGCAAGATTTTTATTTGTAGGTTTATATTTAAATAAAAAATTAATTGAAGAAAAAATTAATTCTTGTCTTGTAAGAAAAGAGGATAAAAATAATTAATCTTCTTCTTCCTGCTGCTGCTGCTGCTGCTGCTGCAGTAACAGCAACAGCAACAGCAACAGTAGTAGTAGTAGTAGTAGTAGTAGTAGTAGTAGTAGTAACACAAGCAGCAGCAGCAGGTCTAGCAGCAGCAGCAGCAGGTCTAGTAGCAGCAGCAGCAGGTGCTGCTGCTGCTGCTGCCCCAATTTATATTTGATTTTTTATCTATTTATTTAAAGCCATTGAGGTGTACGTACACCCCGGGGCCCCACAGATCCGCCGGCCCTTAATTAGGCCTTTCTTTCTTCTTTTTTAGATATAAACCCTAATTTATTTAGTTCAACTATTTAAGCCCTAAACCCTAAACCCTAATGAAGGTTCTTCATAAGTATGGGCTGCAGTTGTGCTGCTTGCCTTCTTGCCAAAAATAAACGGAATATTGAGACTAGGGTTTAGGGTTTAGGGTTTAGGGTTTGGGAAGGGTTTAGCGTTTAGATGCTAGGGTTTAAGCCAGCAGAGGCTATATATAGATTTGTATTAGAGACAACCTTGTCGTTTTTTCTCTCCTTTTTTCTTTCCCTCTCCCTTTTTAGGGATTAGGGTTTAGGGTTTAGGGTTTAGGGTTTTTGCCTATGCCCTCATAAGTTAAGAAGGGTTTAGGGGATAGGGGGAAGAAAAAAACAATAAAATAGTTTTCCTTTTTAGGGTTTGTCTTTCTTGCTGCTAACAACGGCAACAGGCTATAAACACTTGTGGGGCTGCCAAGGGGGTGTGTGTGGGCGTTAAACCCTTGAATACCTCTGCAAGGGTTTAGGGCTTAGGGTTTAGGGTTTAGGATTTAGCTTCCCCAGTAGTGTTATAGAGGCGTAAAGACATTATCTTAGCTGCTGCAGCAGGAATTGCAATTCTCCGTTAACTCCTTGGGCATCATTATCTAATTTATTGTTTATATTATATAATAATAATTAAACGAATAAATTAATAATTATTATATAGCCTTCCTCTAAGAAGACGCAGCAAAGAGGCAGCAGCAGTGGCACAAAGAAAACAACCCGCAGTAGCCACCACCAACCCCGCAAGCTGTAACACCCTCACAACGACCAGCAGCAGCGGCAGCTGCTGCTGCAGCAGGAGGGGTGCGATTAAATCGATTAAATTTTGTTATTTTGTGTTATTTATTCACAAAATAGACGTAAGAAGTATTTATTTTGCACCAATATACACAAGGAGAGAGGGAACTTGCTGCAGTGCAGGTTCGCCGATGCTCGCTGCCGTACAATAAATACTGTGCCGATCTTTGAGTTTTTCGCGTCTTATTTCTTGATTCGAAGACTTTATAATATATACATTTCTTTTATCTTTCGATTTATCCATTAGAACAAGCCCGAAAAGGCTTAATTACCAGCAGATCGCCCCCCTGGTTCTGCGGTGTCTGTACAGCAACGCTCGACACGCACGCGCGCGTGTTTAACTTCTTGCTATAAAGGTCAATTATATCATTTATTTTATTCTGCAATGACGTTCTCGTGGGCAGAGGCACAAGAAGTGCTGGAGGCGGCTTCAGATCCTCAGAAGTTGGCGCAGATTGCGGAGAAACTCTCAACAGAAGAAGAAAAAGAATACTCAAGAAGTCTTATAGCAAAAGAAAAAGATGAACTTCTTCTTAAGCCCAATCCTCGTAGATGGGTATGCGTATAAATATATAAACACCTTTTCTTCCCTGTCTTTATCCTTATTCTTCTTGTTATAGGCTCTATACACACAGACTCACGCCCCTATAATGCATGCATGTCATGTCATTAATAATTGCAGGAGTGTAGGGTTTAGGGTTTAGGGTTTATAGTTTTAGGGTTTAGGGTTAATGAATGAATATAAATGGATGAATGAATGAATGAATAAGCATGCATGTTATTAATATTTATACAAATTACTTACTTATATTGACATATTTATTATATATTACATCTATATTTATTTATTTATTTATTTATTTATTTATTTATTTATTTATTTATTTATTTATATTTATAGGTCTTATTACCTATCCAGCACTCTCGTGTATGGGAGATGTATAAGAAAGCGGAGGCATCATTTTGGACCGCCGAAGAAATTGATATGCAGGCCGATCTAAATGATTGGGGAAAATTAGATGATAAAGAAAAACATTTTATTATGCATGTTCTTGCATTCTTTGCTGCTAGGTAAGTATATTTATTTATTTATTTATTTATTTATTTATATTTAATTGTTATTTATTTAGAAAAAAATTCGTAAAAAAAAAAAACAAATAATTGTATTATGACCAAGTCATGCATGCGTCTGTGTCGTTATTATGGATCTTTTTGTTTATTTTTCTTCTTTCTTCTTTAATTAAATAATATACAATAAATAGAGTAAAATAAATAGGAATAAATTAATTTATTAATTAATTTTATTTATTTATTTATTTATTTACTTCTTTTTTTTCCTTTATAGTGACGGTATAGTAATGGAGAATTTAGCGGAGAGATTTATGTCAGAAGTTCAAATCCCCGAGGCGAGAAGTTTCTATGCATTTCAAATTGCCGTCGAAAATATTCACTCCGAGACTTACAGGTTAGGGTTTAGGGTTTAGGGTTTAGGGTTTAGGGTTTAGGGTTTAGGGTTTATAGGAATATTTATATATTTATATATTTTATATTGTATATATATAATACAAATATATAAACTTTATTATTTTGAATAATGCAAGAATTATGCACGTGTACATAATAATAGAGAGAAGGTTCTTTTTTTGTATTCTCTTTCTTGTTTTTTTTTTTCTCTTGTTTTTTTGCAGTCTTTTAATAGATAATTATATCCGGAGCGACGTAGAGAAAGACCGCCTCTTTAATGCTATTCATAATATCCCTGCTGTTGCTGTTAAGGCAGCATGGGCAGCAAAATGGATAAACAAAACAAAATCTTTTGCTGAGCGTCTTGTTGCTTTCTGCTGTGTAGAGGGAATTCTTTTCTCCGGTTCCTTCTGTGCCATATTTTGGCTTAAAAAGAGAGGTCTTATGCCCGGTAAGCAAGCAGCAAGAAAAAAAGACGAAAGATGAGCTGCCTATACACCCGAAATATTCAGGTGTATAGGCAGCTCATTTTGCAAGAATTCAACATTTCCAATTTTCTTTGACGAATAATGATTTTTTTATTTTTTTTTTATATTTATTTATTTTATTTTATTTCTTTTTTTTCTATCTTTGCAGGTTTAACATTTTCTAATGAAATGATTAGTCGTGATGAAGGATTGCATGCAGATTTTGGCTGCCTTTTATACTCCATGCTAGAAAATCGTCTAAAGACGGAAGTTTTGAATAAAATTGTTAGGGAGGCAGTAGAGGTAGAAAAGGCATTTATTTGTGATGCTCTTCCTTGTGATTTAATAGGAATGAATAGCAGTAAGTATAATATATAAATAAAATAAGTAAATTAAATAAATAAAATAAATAAAATAAATAAATAAAAGAATTCCTTTTTTTTTTATGCATATTTGTTCCCTTCCTTTTTCTTTCTTTTCCCTTTCTATATAATAAAATATATAGTATATATAATATATATATATATATATATATATATATATATATA